ATGCTATATTGTGTCATCGGGGGTGGGTGGAATTCATTGCACACACCCCTTTCTGGAATACTGGCCCATCGGTAGCCTGCTATCTTTCAAAGGGGCGAGAACGGTATTGGACCCATCGTAGCCATCTCGATGGAATTCTATGGCCCCGGTCTAATTACTATGACTCCCATCATCCTAACCCTCACAGTAAACAGGGAGAGGGACATATCAAGTCCTAAGTTCCCTTGAATGAATTTCCCCCAGTGAGCAAGGATGCAAGAACTTATCCATCAAGTCGCATCTGACTCACTATCAAAATACACTGCAATGACAACCATTGACAACCATTAGTGTCAGCCTCGCAAAGAAGCTGTGAATTTATTAGAATGGACGCAAATCAAAGGTGGATGCACAAAGGTTCTCATGGTTTCTATTATTATTATTATTGCCATCTATATAGCACCAACAGATTCCGTAGCATTTTACCATATTATTAGAGGGAGCGATTTGACTATAAATAGGACAATAACAAGAAAACTTACAGGAACGAGGTTGAAGAGGAACCGGCTGAAACAAGCTTACAGTCTATAGGAGGTGGGCTTTAAAACACAATAGGAAGGAAGATAGCAATCAAACAATGAGGGAGTAAATCAGAGCTGCTCTTTAGGAGAGAGCAAGAGACAGGTATGTGAGGTAGAGGCTACTCTGGGAGGCCTTAAGCTTTCCTAAAGATATGGGTTTTAAGGCACTCCTTAAACGATTGAAGACTAGGGGAGAGTTTGATTGTGGTAGGCAAGCTATTCCATAGGAAGGGAGCCACCCTGCGAGAAGTCCGCGCAGCAGACAGGGGAAGGTCACAGGCAGAGCAGGGGGAACGAGGAGGGGCATACCTATGGATCTGTGAGGAGCTATAAGAAGAGCTAGAATTGTTCAATGCTTTATAGGTATGGGTTAGTACTTTAAATTGACTCCTACAGGATACAGGAAGCCAATGTAAGGACTGACAGAGGGCTGAGGCATGAGTGGACCGACTGGAGAGAAAAATCAGTCTGGCGGCAGCATTCATTACAGACTGTAATGGGGCAATACGGCATGGACAAGCTACTTAGTAGCATCTTGCGTAAGAAAGAGGCAGATGCAGGCTATGTTTTTAAGATAGAATCTACAGGATTTGGTAACATACTGGATATGAGGGTCAAAGGTGAGACCAGAATCAAGCATAACACCAAGACAACACGCTTGCTAGGATGTGCTGATGTGGATACCACTAACTTAAAGCGAGAGTGAAAGAGGAGGATCGGTATTAGAAGGAGAAAAGACAAGGAGCTCAGTTTTAAATAGATTGAGTTCCAGAAAGGAAAACAGTAACATGTTGCAGGAAGGCAGGGGAGAAGTCCTGGGAGGAGAGATATATCTGGGTGCCATCAGCGTACACGTGGTAGTGGAATCCAAACAAAGTAATAGGTTTGCCAAGAGAGTCAGTAAAAAGAGAAAATAGAAGGGGACCATGGAGAGACTTGGGGGACTCCAACCGCAACAGGACAAAGGGAGGAGGTATTAGACAAGGAAACACTGAATGAGCATTGGGAGAGATAAGAGGAAAACCACAAGAAGACAGAGTCACAGAGGCTGAGTGATTGAAGAGTTTGAAAAAGGAGAGCATGACCAACGGTGTCAAGGGCAGCAGAGGTCAAGTAGAATTAGAATGGAGTAGTGGCCTTTTCATTTAGCTGCGATTAGGTCATTAGTAACTTTGATAAGAGCAGTCTCAGTAGAGTGAAGGGGGAGGAAGCCAGATTGAAGAGGGTCAAGGAGAGAGTTGGAATTGAAGTGAGACATACCGGGTAAAGATAAGTCTTTCCAGAAGCTTTAAGGGAAAAGGGAGCAGGGATATGGGACATAGTTAGAGGGGGAGGAAGGGTCAAGATGTGTTTTTTTCAGGATGGTTACTACGGTGACATGTTTAAGGTCAGCAGGGACAAAGCCAGAAGAGAGAGAGAGAGCAGTTGAAGATGTGTGTTAAGGAAGGCACAAGACAAGGGGAGAGAGATCTGATAAGGTGAGATGGGATAGAATCAATCAGGCAAGTGGTGGGGCGAGAGGAAAGGAGAAGCGCAACCACCTCTTGCTCAGTAGCTGGGGGAAAGTTTGAAGGGTAGGAAAGGCATGATCTACTTGTGGTTGAGAAAGAGAGAGGCATGG